ATGGCCTTGTCCTCCACCAATTTCCAGGCCATTCTTCAAGGACCTTATCTGGGAACCTTATCTTCTTGCAAGGACCTTATTCCTTTGAAAGCAAACTGGTGTTCATCCCCCCTGCCCCACAACCCTAGATCTAGACAATCCTGCACAAGTTTCTTGCCCTTTTAAAAACAAAACTGTACCATGTAAGATGCACTGAAATTTCAACATCAACACCCTGAAAATCTGGCTCTCCTTATCGTGCGACACAGCTTTATACAGATATGATTCTCTGAAGACTCATTACGGAGAGCAAGGCACCGAGGGACCCTATCTTTCTGACCCTGCAAAATCAAACAGCCCCACAAGAACAACTAGAGCAATCCACTGGATCTCTGCAGAGAACACAAAAATAGTAGCTAAAGTTGTCACTTCCCTTCAACTTTACCAAAAAAGGACACTTTTGGGGGTTCCAAATAAGCACCATTATGAATACTTGGGTAGAAATTGTATTTTCTACACTTATCTAAAGCAGGGTGACAAAATCAGATGAAAGCTTAATAATATGGGGTTTTGATTCCAGTCCATTGACAGCGGTGTTGGCACAGTCTTGCCACTCCTTTGATGGCAGACATAGGAAAGGGCACTAAAGCATCCCAAGGGGAGAGAAGGATTAATCTGACAAGAGGCACTGAATGTGCCAAGCAAAGACCAAGGGTACATTGTCAGTTCTTTCCTTTCCTCCCCAAGTTAACCAGCTGATCCTTCATTTCGGAAAAGTCTTCCTTGTCAAATTTTACTCCTAAAAGAAAAACCCACTCGTTTTAAGGTCCCTAGTTTGGTACAAAGAGAGCCAGCGTAGGGTCATGATTTGAGTGCTGGCCTATGACTTTGAAGAGCAGGGTTCGAATTCCCATTCAACCCTGGAATCCCACTAGGCAAGTGGCCAAACCACACACTCTGCCTCAGAGAAACGCTCCTTCTAAACAAATCTTGCCAAGAAAACCTTGCGACAGAGTCGCCTTAGGGTTTCCCTAAGTCGGAAATGCCTCGAAGGCACACAAGAACAACGTTTAGTACAATGTCATTATTAACAAACACAAGAGAACCAGGCTGTTATGCAAAGCAGGACACTGTACAACTGTTTAGGCCACTAACACAATCGTACACACAATGTTGTAGAGCCGCACTTGACCAGCTTTTGTGCTTCTGGGTTTGGACAGCCACATGCAAGCCCACTTCAGTGATCCAGACATAAATGTGAGCATTTCAGAGCAGGCAACAGCAACAGAATCAAATACAGCAAATGGTTTTAGATCATCTCCAGCTGCAACCACTCCCTGCTGAATTGGAAGGAACATGCAGTGTTGCAACTAAATGCATAGGAAATATGCCCTCACCAAACAAGTTATATGAATGAATCTTACAAAAGACAAAGCTAATTGTAATTCTTTTGGTTTCAGCCCCTCACTGTTAACAGCACCAGTAAGAACAGCAAGTAAGGATAATTTATTAATCAAAGCATCAACATAGGTAAGAAGATCAGAACAGTTTGATGTAACAGTGCATACAATACATTCTCATTTAAAAGTACACTTCTATAAATGCATGTGTTCACAGTCAGATTTTTTTTTCCAGATTAGGACTGCACTTTATTTAATCACAGTTGATCTGCCCCCCCCACAAACATCCATACACACAACTTATTTTATCCATCCAAGTTTTGTTTTAAGAATGAACAAAGGCATCATCAAAGGAAGAGAAAGAAAGAAAGAGAAACAAAGGTTGAAAGAGAAAAGCAAATTAGCAACCATAAGAACATAAACTTAAATAAATAACTCATATCTTTTATGAACATATGTACAAATAGACAAGGCAACTTTTGTTTATCAACATTGTACATATACATTATTTACATACTTGATAACAGGAAAAAGAGGTTGGAATCTTTCACAGCTTCAGACCAAAAGATCTGAGGACTTTTCCTTGGTATTTAGTGCTTTGCCCCATCAATGGAAGGGAACTAGGCCAAGAACACAAAGTTGCCCATTTGTTATTCTAGAATCCTGCCAACATTTGCTTGGTGTTACAAGGGGAATGGGTGAATAAATGGAATTTAGCCCTCCACTGCTAGATATCTGTTGAGGTTTAAACTAGTGTCTAATTTTGAATTTGCACCCCGATTCTGCATCTTTGTACATGTAAGGAGACATCAACTGTAAAATTGCTGAGCAGTTACAGGTCATAACCCATTTGTCATTACAGAAAGTCTGTGAGTGTTGGCAGAAGAATGCACTGGCTCCAACTCAACCCACTTTAGAATACAGTGCTCTCATCTATGAAAGTTGCAGAAGTGGCACATACAAAACCTATTTATTCCTGTCTAAAGTGCAGAGCCAGAGCTTACAGTGATGGGCAGAGGAGCACTCTGCATTTCTCCCACCTTGCCCCAGCCACATAAAAAACAACCGTCATTAGTAAAGGAAGGGTAAGGGTAAGCGTATAAAAAGCAAGCAAAGCAAAGTTGAAGGCAGAAGAAGCTGTGAAAGATTCCTGACATAAAGAAGCACAGCATAAGGCAACTGCAAACCTGTGGTTAAGCTAGAACACGCAGGACAAATGGCTTCAGTTTCCTGGTTTCTTGGCCAGCACAATCTACTTTTCCTGTGTCCACTTGCATGCAAGCCACACAGAGGGCCTGTGCAAAGCCAATGCAACACCCTCCCCATTCCTCTTTTCCTTCCCACACACTCAGCCTGTTTGTCTCATTGGTTTGGGCTTGTTGGTTGGTTGGTTGGTTTTCTCTTGTCCTTCTAGCACACGTGGGCCAGAGAGACCAAGAAAGGGATTGAGTGCAAATACAAGACTATAGGGCAACACAGACCATGAACAGAACCAAAGAGTGAAACCAAAATGCAAGGTGGGCCAAAGAGGAACTGGAAGCCCTGGGTCAACAGGATCCAACACGTTTCCAACAGGATCCAGTTAGGAGACCCAGAACCTGGAGCTGTGTGTTCTGTTTTGCTTTTTCTTTGGAACCAGAGAGAACAAAGTCACTTATTCCTTGCTGACGGCACGGACGGCTGAGATCCACTTCCCAAGCTTCTCTGGGCTGGCTTGAGAGAGGAAGGGTTCCTGAGGCTCACGGACAAGGCAGGCTCGGCTTCTGGACTCCCACTCCTTCCAAGGTGGCCTCATATCTGCCAGTGGGAGCTTTGAAAGCAGAGCAGCAGGGCACAAAGGCCAGTCCCTGAAACAACCCTGAGACACCGAGCTGTGCATCTAGAGAGGAGCCTTCTCCTCTTCTGTCGAACCTTTATTCTCCTTCACATGTAAGAAAACAATGACCCTGCCCAGATTACGAAGGAGAACCGGAATGCAGCAGACACGTTGGTGTGTCTTGGCAGCACCGGATACAAAAAAGAAATAATAATAATAATAATAAATATACAAAAATGTAAAAACCCAACAAGACTGCCAAGCTTCATTTGCAATGTTCTCCATAGACAGCAGTTGACCAATGCACTCTTTCTTTAAAAAAAAAATTAATAAAGGAGAAAGGGAAAAGTTCCATCAAGTCATTCAGGAAGTGGTGTTGGATGGCTGAAAGAGAACTGAAGGCCAGGGCACCGAGGTTCTCCTCCCCGAAAATAAGCAGCAAGATCTGGAGAGAGAGACTTCAGGTGTTGAGGCAGGTTCACGCTGCGTCATCCTCCATTCTGACCATTTGTCTCTGTTTGACAAAAAGATAAGTATTTTTTTAATGGGCTACTTGAGTGTTTAGATGCTTTTGAGTTCAAATCCTACTGCAAGTAGCAAAGCTCTCATGAACTTGAATTTAAGTGGGTCACCATGGAGTTAAATAGTGCTGGCTGTGTGAGAACATCACTGAAGGCAAAGTAAACTAACTCTTATGAATAGTAACAAAACCCATTCTAAGTTAACCAGTCATAGCATGCTATAGCCAAATCATCTTGCTCCCATGATAATTCACTTACTTTAGGAAGAGAAACTTAACTGAAAGGAAACTGGGGTATAGCAGTAAACTTATTGGGGTTGTGAATTATGTTTTGAACTAGTATAAAAAGGGAGGCATGGGGAGGATGACTCCTAATCACAATAGATCCCATTAAATCTCCCATTTTCATTGCCTTCATTGCAAATATTCCGTGCTGTCCCAACGCAATTCAGTTTATATGTTTTATTTCCTTTAATCACCTGCATAACCAGGGATTTAAGCACCTCAGGTTTTATTTCCCATTTTAACTAGGAACTCTTTTGAGCCACCATCTCCACTTTTGACAATGACCCGGGAGGGAAGAGAATTCAGACTCTGAATGAAACATCCAGTTCCAGTAGGGAAAGGGAGATGGAAGAAGGTCAGCTGCTTGCACATGAAGCCCAATACTGAAATGTTGGTGGCCAGGTTTAAGTTCCACCTAGTGAAAACAAAACCAGAAACACTCCTGGTTCCTAAGTGCCTCAGACCCATTCAGG